TATGTCTGATATATATATATATATATATCTTAGTTTGTTTTTGTCATTTGTGACATGTTTTTCTGCGTGCGCGTTTATCTTTTACTTTCTTTACAAAATTTATATTGCATAAGATTTTATATTACATTATAGCTTCTCATTACTGTACGCATGAAATATAATAAGAGAGACAGATATTCTGTAAACAGATACTGAAATATAAATACTGAACGATTTAAAAGTGCATCTAAGTAATGACGGACAATTAAATGGGTAATATCCGAATTATTTATAAGTCGAAATAGACAAGCCTACCACCTGCTGTTGTTATTGCTGCTGACACTTCAAGGAATGAAGCCTAAATGAATCGGCAGCAACCTTGAATGCATTTCAAGGACGACGTGCTTGGTGTATCTTGCGGTTAGTGCAATTAACCCGCTCCTCATCGACGGATATCTCGATTGGCAAGAATCGACACCACTGAATTAACCATCTTCCCTTTTCTCCTTTTCAATGCAATATAACATCAAGAGAATAACAATTATATCAAATTTTCTTCAATCTTTAATGTGTATAAACGAAGCTATTTATTTAATTATCGCGCATCGGCTATATCGCAAGGACACATTATGATGAAATATCGTTTTTTATTTGAATGCAAAATAATCTGAATTAAATGGTGTAATTTAATTTGTTTAAATTTATATAATAATCACAAGTAATTGTATTATTAAAACAAGTTGAAGATGTAGATTTTAAATCTTTCAGAAAAAAATCTTTTAGGAAATTCAAAATGGCGGATCTAATATGATGGATATCTAAATTTAAATTTTAGATAATTTAAATTTAATTTTTATTACTTTTAATTAAAGAAAAGAATTTTTATTTTTTTTAGATTTGTAAAATTACAAGTGGCGATTTCAAAATGTACTTTGATTTTGACTTTAAGCTTATAAAAAGATGCTTGCGTGTGCGCGCGCGCGTGTGCGTGTGTGTACGTGTATATGTGTGTTCAACATTTATATTCTTTTAAAAATTTACTTTCTTTTAAAAAATAACTTTTCATATATCTTGACGAAAAAATCGCACGTTGATTAAATTAAAATTAATTGAGTTTTGGAGAGGAAGGATAGTATTATAGGAAGAACAGTATTATTGAGACCATCGGTTAAAATAATTGGAGATAATTTGCTCTCTCTGTAATTTGTATTTTTATGAATGTAACCAAAATTGTCATTTTGGGTTGTTTTATTCCATCTAAAAAAATTTGACATGATAGGCAATTTCTGTGGTCAGATTTCAGTGCACAAAATTACGTAAAAAATTTATAATTCTTAAACAACAAAAGATTTTACAGATTTATGTTATTTACATTGTTATTTATTTAATATGAATAATGTAGGATTAACAACTTACAATTTAATTATATTTAAAAAGAAACGTAAAATGGAAATATTGCATCCATATTTCTTTTAAAGCTCGAAAGAACATCTTTATTACAACCTTCAAAAGGATTTGGAAAAAAACTACATAATAGCGCACAGACTCCATTAACCTTGTGATTATTGATATTTATTGTTCTCCCGTACTTCTCCTTTTTTCTTTTTCGAGGTTAGAGATTTAACGATCTTTGCTCCTTATAGATAATGAAGGATAAGAAATTTATCAATATAAATCAAAAAAATACGTTTATGATGTTAATGTCTATGAATCAATTATTTTATTATTTTTAGAAAAGATTTGATATAAAAAATTGATGATAATTACAAAATCCAATTAAAATAAAAAAAAGGATCTTATAAAGATAAAAAGATTTTATTATAAACTAATATTAAGCTGTCAAAAATATCTAATATAATTATTGTACTTATGTCTATAAAAAATTCTGATGTAAAATAGTACTAAAATTAAATTATAGAAAAGATTTATTATTAAAAAATAACACTAAATAAGACGTCTGAAAGATGTCTAAAAAAATGTCAATTATTGAAAAATAAATGAATCTTTAAGACATCCCAAAGATGTCATAAATCGGATTATAAGATGCCTTAAAGACGTTTTAAAGAACGTCCCATGAAATGTATTTCAAAAAGGAATAATTCATGATTAACTTTGTCACCAAATATCGCTGATAACATAATTATAAAAAATTAATGAAAAATGTAAGTATATATTTTCCGATTCTTGAATTTTTATATTTTTTGATCAAATCGATCAAGTTGATTCAGTGCAATCATTTTTTATGAATGGCATAAAGACTAAGAGTAGTGTGCAATTTTTTTTTTGTATTGAATATAAGCATATTGAATGCTAATGTCGAAAATAAGCTTCGAATTTCTTAATAAAGATAAATTTTGTTCGCGAATCTAAAACAAGCTGGAAAATCTTTGAAATCTCGAGGCTACATCTTGTGTGGTTCGCATTCAGATAGCAGCTAATCGAGGCACAAGAAACCTGTTACACCACGATGAAGAAAATGGTAACATCTTAGTCTGAAAGCGATGATGCGAGTCGGTACAGTGAACCTGAGTTGTTATGATAGCATGCGTACAACATAAGTGCAGCCTTGCCGTTGAAAGTAGCAAGGTCGTTCTTCTCCCACTGATTCTACTTTGCCTTCTCCACCGATACGTTCA